TAACATCATTGATATTCCAGTCAGATGTAAAGTGAGATTGTTTTTATCTATTAGACCTTTTTAAAGTTCGTCTTTCCAGACAATGTAACTTAGGTTCTGACTTCTAATTACTCAATTCACTGAGAAAAAAGCTGATGTTTAGAAATCTTTGTAGGAGAATTTGTAAACTTAGAGCGTCTATTATTTCTATATTCAAGTCAGACGTCTGTGGATCTCGCGATTCCACTAAATCTAACCATTTTACAATAGTTACTTCATAAACAGTTCTATAATTACAGGAACTACTGATATCTGATAGAAAATTGGAATGATGCAAATAGAAGCCAAAAATGGTTTTGATACACATAAACATTTTAGAAAACCCCTTGAAAATCTCTTTAAGCTGACAATAGTAAAACATTAGAGGCTCTGATAGAAATTGAACAAGAGAAGACTAATTCAGCTTCTGGCAAAAATTTCCTCACTGTTCACTGCATGGCGTTGTCTGTCTTTCATAGTTCATGCATGGCATTGTCTGCCTTTCATAGTTCATGCATGGCATTGTCTGCCTTTCATAGTTCATGCATGGCATTGCCTGTCTTTCATAGTTCATGCATGGCCTTGCCTGTCTTCATGGGCTAAATCACATGCAGAAAAGTAGGGTGTAAAACTCCATTTCATTTCAAATTTAATTTGAATTTAAAAATATTACATTGACTATGACACAGAGTTAATAAAAGACAATATCATTTAGAATCCGAAAATAAAAAGTAGCTTAGAGTCACGTGACATCTTAACAAACACAACTAGCATGTATCTTCACGTAGTTTTTAATCGTTACTCGCGATTTGAATAGAAGCCATTTTAAAATAGGAAATGACATTTCTAGATTTGTAATCTAAGTAAATATTGGCTATTCCATGCCGTTATTAAAATGCACAAAATAACTGTTTTTATCTCAAATTCCAATTTGTTATTTTTCTATCAGGTCATTAGTCAGAGGTAATTCAAGGTCTGAGTAAGTGCTAGACATAATGATATACACCAACATTGCAGAATAACGCATGATGCAAAAATTTGCTAAATTCATCAGTCAGCTGCAATTCAAGCAATTTGTTGTTTTAAGTGATTAGTTATTCAAGGTCTGAGTGCTTAGAATAATGATATACACCAACATTTCAGAACATCATTGTATAAATTGGCTTATTTGGTTATTTACGGTCTGAGATGGATGCTAAAATTGATGATATACACCAACATGCTGCTCATTCCGAGACCAAAAAGAAATTAAGGTTTGCCCGAATGTTTTGTGTTAGGTCATTAGTTGGATCTAATTCAAGGTCTGAGTGCTGGAAATGATGATGTACACCAACATTGCAGCACTACACATGATGCTACAATTTTCTAAATGAATAAGTCAGAGGTAATTCAAGCAATTTAGCAGAGAAGGCATGCAGTGTGCAATGGGGACATTTTGCCAGAACAGGTGAGGTGATTAGCTAGCAAACATTCAACTGACTGAATCATCACTACTTCAATCATCAAGTTAACTAAGCTACTTTTCTTCACCTTCTTAAGCTAAAAAGACATGTCATGTCACGCAGTGTGCAATGAGGGAAATTTGGTAATTCATCTCTACTTCCAATTCAAACCTCAAGAGAGGAACAGAATCAAGAATGGAAGAAAGTTGTAATTGATTATTGATGGAGTTAAGTCTGAGTTTTTACCAACGTTCATCACATGATTTTTAACAGAGAGTTGACAAGAATGGGTCATTAATAAGGGCAATAAACCATAAAATTCTACGTTGGCCATGAAATACGACTGTAGAGTCATCAAGCAAATAACATGCATTCCTAAGATAAAGGCCATAAATATTAAAATTTATGCCATTCTGATACAGTAATTTCAGTCTCTTGCATTCATTTCCTCGAATCATCTTCACAGTGTCAAGGTATTACAAACTAGGTCTTATACCTTGACTTTATTAGGCACTTTTCTTTCTTGAAAGTCTCCTGACACCTGTCTGCCATTTTCACAATGTTAAAGAATTACAAACTTCCTCTTATACCTAGACTTTATTGGGCATTTTTCATTTTCGAAAGTCTCCTGACACCTGTCTGCCATTTTCACAATGTCAAAGAATTACGAACTTCCTCTTATACCTTGACTTTATTAGGCACTTTCTTGTATATTTTCATGGATCATATATAATGTTCATTTTCTTCTATACACAAAACACAGATTAGAACTAGTCATTATCTGCCATTTTGTTGACAGTCTTTCTGTTGAGGTCTCTGATTGGCTGTATTTGCTTGTGTACAATCCAATCAAATCACTAACTTCACTACATGAATTACACAATGAAGTCAAGGTATGAGATGAAGTTCATAATTCGCCACTATCCATTTTAGGGCAACTTCCCTGATCCATGAAAAGTGCTTAACGATGTCAAGGTATTAGTTGAAGTTTATAATTCCTTGACAATGTGAAGATGCTGTATCATTAGTTTAAAATTTTCTAGATGGATTGAACGAGTGGCATTACTTGACTGATGACTAATCCAATCAGTTGGTAAAATCGACTGCGGACCAGCATCACTAATTAACACTTCTCCATTCACGTTCTCTCGTGGACTTTTATCGGCACTCTTTAATGTCAAGATAGTAAAGTTAATTCCCTTTCGGACCTTTAACTCTGTCCCTAACGTCAAGATATAATTTTAATGTGTGTTCAATGAGGCATCCACAGTTAGACAAGTCCCTATCGTCCAGGCAATAATTGTAATGAGCTTTTGCACTCCTAATAGACAGTTATATCCAGACCGAATTGTAGTAAGTGCTCAATCAGGAATCGTCTTATAACAAAGTCCCTTATGTCCAGACCATAATCATAATGTATGCTCAATGATGCTTCCTCTTGAAAGGTAGTCTTTTATATCCAGACAATGATTTCAAAGTGTACTAAATTAAACTTAAGTCCAGACCATAAATGTTAAGTGCGCACAATCAAACTTTGTACTGTAACAAAGTTCCTTACATCCAGACCATGATTGTAATAAATGCTTAATGAAGCTTCATACAGTAATGAAGACCCTATCATCCAGACCATGAGTGTAATAAGTGCTCAATGAAGCTTCATACAGTAATGAAGACCCTATCATCCAGACCATAATTATAATGCATGCTCAATGAGCCAGCGTGGCCCAGTGTCAACATGAATCATGTATTTGCAGTTTATGGCCATATTTCATATGATAACTATAAAATATTCTAATCGTCTCTGAGGAAATGATTTGCCGATTTAATGAATTAAAAACAGTTTTTTGCGTTAAAATCGCGAATAAAATCTGCATGTCATTAAAATTAATGTCCATTTTCGCTTGGTTTTATTGTTCAAACTTGTTGAATCATGGACAATTTTAATGTCGGCCATAACACTTTGTTTATTGTTGAACATTTTATGCAACATTTGTTGTAATGGATTGAAAATGGGTACCAAAAGTCAAATTTTAATGGTGAAACATGCTGGAAGTACAGATATTAATTTTATTGATATAGTCATATCCTGTTGTACATGTAGAGTAACATTTTATTACTCAAAACTGACATTTTTTATATTTTAAAAGGACAAAAGTTGACAACATGGCTGTGGAGCACATCCCAGAGTTAGGCTGTAGAATCTACACAACTGTTTACCTTAGGAATGGTGTAGAATCTACACAACTGTTTATCTTAGGAATGCTGTAGAATCTACACAACTGTTTACCTTAGGAATGGTGTAGAAACTACACAACTGTTTACCTTAGGAATGCTGTAGAATCTACATGACTGTTTACCTTAGGAATGGTGTAGAAACTACACAACTGTTTATCTTAGGAATGCTGTAGAATCTACATGACTGTTTACCTTAGGAATGTTGTAGAAACTACACAACTGTTTACCTTAGGAATGCTGTAGAATCTACACAACTGTTTACTTTAGGAATGCTGTAGAATCTACACAACTGTTTACTTTAGGAATGCTGTAGAATCTACACAACTGTTTACCTTAGGAATGCTGTAGAATCTACACAACTGTTTACCTTAGGAATGCTGTAGAATCTACACAACTGTTTACTTTAGGAATGCTGTAGAATCTACACAACTGTTTACTTTAGGAATGCTGTAGAATCTACACAACTGTTTACTTTAGGAATGCTGTAGAATCTACACAACTGTTTACCTTAGGAATGGTGTAGAATCTACACAACTGTTTACTTTAGGAATGCTGTAGAATCTACACAACTGTTTACTTTAGGAATGCTGTAGAATCTACACAACTGTTTACTTTAGGAATGCTGTAGAATCTACATGACTGTTTACCTTAGGAATGGTGTAGAAACTACACGACTACATCACTTAAAGAAGTAAATATATAACTATTTATCATGGAATACCAGAGAGATTTGGTAAATCAATATGTTTCTTTACTCTCTCAATATACATTGTTATTTTATTCTAGTTCATATATTGGTGTTTATTCTCTGGTTTATATCAGGCAATCCCAGCAAATATTGACTTATATCATATGTTAATCTTTTGTATTGCAAATGGGGTGTAGCGCAGTTAGTTAGAATGTTGGAATCGTTACTTGACATCATTTGCCTTGTATTATAACTGTCTTTGTATAAATAAGAGGGGCTGTAGCGTTTTCAGTTAGGATGTTGGAATATTTACATGATGTCATTTGCTTGGTAAAGTTTCCTTCCTTTCTTGTGTTTTTTCAAAGCTGGAACTTGGTATAGTAGAGCAATGATATAAAATTTGCACACATGCACATATGGTGGTTGTGGGTTCTAATCTCATTCAGCCATCTTCACTTATGATTCTAGTCTGTTCATAGCTATGGATAATCTAGGAAAGCCCAAGCCAAAAATTTCCCAAAACAATACAGGTTTAACTCTAACTGCAGAAAAGAGTTTCTGACATAGAATCATCATCAGGACAACTGATGAGTATAAAATAGATATTAAATACTTACGAATCGTGTAAACTGCAATCAAAAAACGTAAAGTTGGTTGAGACGACATCTTTTTCTTTTGACTGTATTGATAACTTCATTACTATATGATCTGAAATGATAAAATAATTCAATAGAGTTTTACATCCTACTTTTCTGCACCATGTGGGCTAATGAAGACAGACAACGCCATGCACGGCGAACAAGGGAAATTTTGCCAGGACAGCAGCATTAGCCCGATCTTTTTTTATTTCCAACTGTCGAGAGATTTTTAACATGCACAGTCTGTACCACATGAGACCTTATTGTTTCATCTGAACGACTAGACGCTTTTTCCATGTCAGCCCCTCTTACCTGCATCACGGACAGGGGGAAACCGGGTTGAAAAATCCGAAGGTATTATTACGACCTATGCCGGGATTGAACTCCGGACTTCAGGTTATCGAGCAAGCGTCTAACTCTCTGAGCCACCGCGGCTCCTGCCCCAGATTGGGAAAATTAAGATGGACAAAGCCATGCTGTATGCAATAACGCATGTCCTGAGTCACAATAGATGAAATTATAATATTTGTAAATTGAAATGAGATGGAGTTTTACATCCTTCTTTCCTACTCCAGTTTGGGTAACTGAAGATGGGTGAAGCCATGCAGTGTGCAATGAGAGATGCCATGACAGCTACATTGGCCTAGACCATTTCTCTTTTTACACTAGAAATGGATCTTGAGCACATTCCAAAGTTTGAAAAACCAAAAACAAAACCCCAAAATTGGCACCAATATCTGAAATATTTCAGAATATTCTACTAGCGGATCTGCGCTAATAATATTTAATTTTTATCAAACTTTTATTTCCATTTGCCAAATCAAAGACAAAGCCCTAAAACTGGCACCAATGTTTGAAATATATCAGACTATTCTGCTAGCAAGCTGATCCTTAAGCACTAATGATATCAAATTTTTATCAGGAATTTTGTACCAGTTGCCAAATCAAATGCAGAACCTTCAAATAGGCGTCAAAAATTTCAAAAACATTTAAGACTACTCCCTTATGAGCAATATAAATTGAATTTGAATCTTGAAATTTCGAACAATTGGAAGATAAAAACTGTCTGCTAATTAGAATTATCAGGGAAAAGACGATAGCCATTCAAAGGACGGCAGACATTCTATGAACAATGTTCTCCTTCTCCCTAGGTGGTCTTTATCATTCTCAATATGTCTGTAAAATTCAATTCAGAACAGTCATTACTGAAGGGATGGTGCTTTTGATATTCACAGACGGCCACTTATCGTTCTGAATTATATTAAAAAAATTATATTGCTACTTCAATTTTATATAGAAGATCTTTAGACTGAATTCATAGTCAATTATTTTTGAGGTTGAGTCCAACATGACTGGCAAAAACAGGATAATCAACAGTCTAAAGCTCTAGTCAGACATGCCTGGTAAAACAGACCAGGGCTATACTTGGTAGGTAAATATAAACATTAAATAGTCCAGAACTATTGATAGTAAAAACTCTAGGACTGGTAAATACAATCAAAATCAAATGCCTACATGACTGGTAAATATAACCAAATCAACAGCCCTTATAGACTTTTGTATGCAATTCCCAACAGTCACTATAAAATATATGTTTAATAAATAGCCATATTGTCTTTAACCCATTTCACAATTCCTGATATATTAGCCAGGAAAAAAATGGCGCCATCGTCTATTGTTGCATGTTAGTTGATTGACAGGCCATTTATATGTTAGGAGAAAGGTAAAGTGCTAGAGTGAGAAAAAATGGCCAAATTGTCAATGAAAACATTTCCAACCTTTCATACAGAGAATTAAAAGTCAACAGAAAAAGTTCGTTAAAATGACCATATGTGTCGCAAAAAAACAGCAGGCAGACGCGAAAACACCACCAGAATTTGTTGCATTTCAATTGCAGTGAATAGATTCCATGCATAGTAATTGATGGTAATATGCCGCCATTATTTTAAAGGCGGGAAATTGGAGCTGAAGCAGAATAAGAATCATATTGAGAAAATGTAATTGAATTTCATTTGTGGTTCAGACTTCACGTCTGCTGAAAGTGTTACAAAGTTTCAGTTTTTTTTTGCTGATCTCTACGCAGTTATATTCAATAATTGAGTAGAAGTGGAAATTTCAACATCTTGATTCTGTTTTTCTGCGATTAGCAAGTCAAATTGGAATCTGATTCAAGGATGAAGGTTTTTTAAAAATGAGGTTTCATTACTCTTGAGAGTTAAAATGTGATAAATATTGGTTAATACACGTAAATATAAGCAATTAAAGTGACGGTTTTGGTAAATTCTACATCTTCCTTTGATAGGACTAGCTTTAGTGCATGTATGTAGGTAACTAGGCATCCCTTTTAGATAGTCCACATAGCTAACATTTTGGTGTTTGTGTTTTTAAACTTGGCATCAGTTTCAGAGAGTCCACATAGCCGCTACAAATTTAGTGTTTGTGTTTATCAACTTGGCATCTCTTTCAGAGAGTCCACATAGCTAATAATGTTAAGTTTATCAACAACCCATTTCTTTTGAAAAGTTCTCATGGATAACAACCAATTTTTCTTTTTCGAGAAAGGTGGCAACTTGACCAGACAATGTAGAACCTGCTTCGTTCGTCCCTTTAAATTATCACAAATATCAGTGAAGATTAAGCAGGATCAAGATTAATCGACATGTAGAGATGGCGCCACAAGCTAAGATAGCAGACGTAGAAACCACTATTAACTACATCAACACAAATATCAGCCTTGTTCAAATCTGCCGAAAGTGTTTATCAAACTTTGGTTAATAATCGCTGATAGTCACAAATCCATGATTACTTCAATCGTTTTCCTTCCTTTTTCCTCACGTAAATTAGAGAGCTCCAATCCTGACCCGCCATTGACCAACTTTCTGACTCACATCAAATTTCTGAGACTTTAATCAGCCTTTGAAAATGTCTGCTGTTTTTTTTTTTCCTATTTTTTTTGTTTGAAGAAATTTGCACTATTGGAACATCAAACAGAATAAAAAGATGAGGTTTGGAATCCTGGCCTAGTCCTTTCAGATGAGGCTTATGAAGACAGGCAACACCATGCAGTGTGCAATGAGGTAAATTCCAGAATATGTATATTAGTTTATATAGTATTGATTTGCCAAAAACTTAAAATTAGATTAAAAAAGAAGCCCCCCCCCCCCTTCTCTATTCTTTCTTTGATCCTATGCTACAACTGAATCAGAAAAGCATTACAAACTTTGGAGAATCCACACAATTTCTCTTTATGATTAAGAGCGTCTACACAGCAAATTGTATTGATTTTGCCTTAATCTAAATTAAGACCGTCTTGTTAATGAATTAAAGAAACATGGTCCATGACCCAGAACACGATGTAAAAATTAGTTTCTGCGTAAAACGACGATTTAAACCGAACGTCATTTCTTCGGCCATCTTTTCTCCTTAACCAAATCAACCTTTTATGTTGAAAATGTTTGAAGTTGGATGGCAGAAACGATAAAAAACGTGAAGGAATTCTTTGCGTTGGTTAAAAGCCTGTTTAAGATGCGACGAAACATTTTATGGTTGTATTTGTTCGTGTTTTAATCAAATTGTTCCGAGCGTGAGGCCATTATCATCGTTATAATAATGATAAAATTCAAATCCAACTTGTTGACAAATTCTTAATGATATAAAGAGATTTTTTACGATCTCTGTTCTCCACTCCCGTAGGTCTTCTGATTAAGAAATCGTCGCTATAGAAGACAAAATTAATCTTCTTGAACTTGATTATAAATTTTGTCAAGTTTCATTGGTTGGAATCAAAACGATGAGGTTTTTTATATGTCTACTGGCAGCACAGACCAGAATGTCGTTTAAGGGTTCATCGCATCTGTAGGGATGGACGGTGGTTGTAAAAATTTTCCAAAATTTGTCAAATCTAATTGGTTGAACTCAAATTGACCAGCTCTAGAACATTATGAAAGTTTAAAGTCTGCAGGGACCAAGGCTATGGTTTCAGAATGCCTCTTTAGGGAGAGAATTTGGTTTTTGAACAGCAATGACTTCTGCTCTGTCAATTAGTGGTTTTAAGATGCTTGACGTCTGATGAGTTTTGTTGTCATGACGTGTCGTCTGCAGGGACCAAATTCGGTTAAAAGACGTCACTGTAGAAAGGGAATTAGGTTTTTTGTTTTTGATTCGACAATCACTTTTACAATGTTAATTATTGCTGTTAATTACGGTGTTTTAAGACGCTTGACGTCTGCTACTTTCTTACTTATCAGGTCGTCTGCGGGGACAAAAACGCGGTTTTAGAATGCGTCCCATCTTTTGGGACAGATTTTGTTTTAGCGGCAGAAATTAAAAAGACTAGAGGCTTTTTCCATGTTAGCCCCTGCAACCTGCATTTTTAACTGCAGGAAACCTGTTTTAAAATTATAAAGGAATTATCTCAACCTATGCCAGGATTCAGGATTATACCGTGGACCTTCAGGTTAGTAAGCAAGTGTCCAACTCACTAAATTACTGCGGCTCCATCTGAACGTAGAAAAGCCAAAATTGGACTCATGAAGACTGGCAACATCATACAGTGTGCAATGAGGGAAAAGTTGCCAAGAAACCCAAAAATAAACTTATAGGATTCTTACCTTTTCCTGTTGGAATTGGTGGTAGTTTATTAGGCATAGGGGTATCACAACGAACTCCACCCTGTAACAATGGCTTCCCCTGCGTTTTTAACACCACAGGGCGTTTATTGCCAATCTCGTAGCTGGTAAAAACACATTTTAATTCGTTTTCATCTATTGGTGGTAGATAGGCTATCGATACTTTCAGCTGAAATATAAAATATCTAAAAATATAATTTCAAAAATCTAATAAGGAGCAATTTGATTGGTTTATAAAACTACATTGAAAATCAATTTTAGTGATTGACCAATCAGACAACTGTAAGCTGTCATTGTAAGCTCCTTAGCAACTCTTTGAGCCACTGCAACTTCCTTAGCAACAAAGAAGATTCATAAACCTACCTCTTGAGTAGTGATCCCACGACCCTTCTGTATTTTTGATGGTACAACTTGAGTGATGTTGGTACACTGCTGACCACTGTATGACAACCAACGCATGGACTGATCTTTGATTTGGCAGTCTGTTGTCGGGCTACATCTAAAAATAGAAGAAAATAAAAATAAGAAATCTGTAAATGATGAAAAGTTAAAGAAATGATAAATGTGAAAGCTCAAAAAAATTTGGATAAGACACACTATGGCACAATGACTGTCATGAAAAAATTTTCTTTGACATACAATGTCAGGACAGTTTCTCTTTAACTTAAAAACTGAAAACGAAGGATTAACTTAAAAACTTTCTTTATGCAGTTGGTGTGTTATTAATAGCGGACTATTTACTATTTCACAAAATCTTAACCAGAGTTTAAAAAAAATACAGTGATCTGATTGGTTTACAGAACTAAGATTAAAATCAAAATTCAAAATGCAGTAATATGATTGGTTGCAAAAGACATTTTTGGTTCAACCAATCAAATGACTTGAACATGATTTTCAGTCAAGTTTTTGTGAAATTTGCTTTAATGAAATGTGAACTTCAAAAGTCAAGCTTAAAGAAGAAAATTAAATGACAACATCCCTTGAAATGCACAAAATACAGTAGATGATCAACATTCATTCCACTAAAATACAAGACAAATATAATAGATAAATAATACAATTATACATGCATACAAACTAAATATAATATACCAAATAGGCAAAAATATTCAAACAAGTTTCATGTTTACATTGTTGTCAGAATGGCCTTCAAATCCAAATATCAGTAACATTTGGCCAGAATCACCTGGTGTCAGGAAGAGTCAGGCTTACTGATTCCAAAAAAGGACCTAAAGGGCTGGACAATTTGAAAATGCTTTAAGCAAAACTCTGTTAGCCAAAGCCTAATAATACATCTTCACTAATTCCCTTTAACTTAGATTGGATTAAAGGGATTGAAAAATGGTTTTCTTAGCAAGAGTTTAACATCCCTTAGAGCCTTTGTGACATCATAAAACCCTAAATTTAGTGGAATTGCAGGAACAAAATTGGTTAATTGAAATGGTGCAATTGATGCTATCAGTAACCATTATACACGTACAAAATTTAGTAAATCTCTTAACAATCTCTTTAATCATTCAGTCACTAATCAGAAAAATTAAACGTTACTTGTATTCGACTATGAAATATTACTCATTCTATATTTGCATATCAATAGATATTCTGGAGGCCATAGACAATTGACCACCATATATGGAAATCCGAGGAGAAAGCGCCATTCAATCATGAACCAAAGAATCATACACAAATCACTGAATTACAAAAGACCATCCCTGAAAGTGTGGAATTGCAGAAAGTCATTCATGCAACTTACAGGAACTTTTAATCAGTAGGTATAAAAACATGGAATCATCAAAATATGGAAATTCTGGCAGAAATTGCCATGGAATCATACGTGAATCACTGATTTACAAAAGACCATTCCTGAAAGCATGGAATCGCAGAAACTCATTCATGCAAGTAGTAGAATCTTTTAATCAGTCAGTGGAATCATCAGGTTGCAGCCTGTTGCTTCTAATCAACCGCCTGTCTGACTAATTCCTGCAATTTCTAAAATATTAGAGGTCACGAACCCTAGAGGTCGGAGTTTAATACCCGAAACATTTGCAATTCATATGATTTAAACATAAAAATGATTGACGAGGGAGCTGTCATAAAGGACAATAATTAACGTAAATCGGGAAGATTAAATTGTCAAAGAATGCAACACGATCTTATTTATCATTTCAATATTCAAATACTATGCTATATCAGATGATATGACAAACATTATTTATGATTCAAATTCTGGTCAAATGTGCACGTCATTATGCGTAATTGTCCTCATTTGCATAATTATTTATTGATTGTTGAGTATTAATCATTCCGTGGTAATATTTTGTTATCTTATCCATCTATGAGTTAATCTACCAACGCTTCTCGTATCTTATGGTATTTTCAGCGCTAATCTTTGTAACACTTTGACTACAATACCAGCAATATGTTATGCCAATTCTTAAAGGGATTGTAAAGAGGTTTTTCTAAATTTTTTATGTGTATCAGGAACACTGATAGCATCAATTTGCACCTTTCCAATTTTCAATCAGATGTCTCAATTGTTTATTCACTAGTTCTATACAATATTTTTGTCTTCTGATAAATTTGGATAACAGAAAGTTTAACAGCTGTTTAAAAAGTTTTTAATTGCAAAGCTGTTTAAGTTTCAAATGAAAAGTAGGAGAATTTTCAAGGCATTATTCCAAAAGACTCATAAAAAAGACATTAACTTGTAAAAGATGTATCATTATGACAGCAAGGCATCCATCGAAATGGGAAATAGTTTTTAAAATCCCTCAAGACTTAGACCATAAAACAACACCAATTGACATTAAAAAAACATAAAACAGATAAAAACTGCTTCAAGTTTTCTAAAATATTCATTTTTCAGTCATAACTAGTCGTATTTTGACACGAAACACAAACCACTCTGACTAACAAGTCCCCGAGGAATATATTTTTCGCAAACGTGAAGCGTGTCTAATTGATATGAATTGCTCTACGATGGCCGCAAACGACAGAAATGTAAAATATTCCTGGCAATCAAGCAGAAAGAAACGTAAAATTTTCCGCCCAAATCGACATAAATCATCAAGATGAATCATGGGATAGATCGTAAACGAATAAACTGAATAAACTTCCAGCCGATGTTTTCCATTTTATCGAATTAATTTTTTTTTTCTAAAAACGAGTCCCACTTATTGGCGATAAAATAGATTTTTTGTGAAATTTCTAAAAAGCCAACTTGTTGCTTTATCAGGTTCCAGAAACCGAATGAAACGGTTGGAATCAGTTTTTTTTAAAACAAATTGAATTAAATGTTTTTCTCTCAAGACCAATGAATGATCAATAGACAAATAGATTTCAATGACGAACTTAAAAACTTTATACTTTAAAAACTGGTCTCTGAAACAGTCTACCCATAAAGTCTTAAAATGGCTATAGCAATTATAATTTGAGCAAATTAACAAAAACAATACAAAGCTATAGAGATTACATTATGTCCTACTTGTCTGCAATCAATTGAACAACCCCATGCAGTGTCTGATATAGGAAATTTGTCCGATCAATATCCAACAGGGATCTTTAACATGTACAGCCTGTATCACACAAGATGTTAGTTTATTGTCTCATCCATCTTCTCATCCATTGTCTTTCCATCTCAGTCCCTCTTACCTGCATCACTGACAGGGGGGAAACCAGGTTGAAAAATCTGAAGGTATTATCTCTACCAATACAGGGATTGAACTCTGGACCTTCGGGTAAGTGAGCAAACATCTAACTCACTCACTGAGCCACCGCGGTTTCATAAAGCAATTAAGAAATATTCCAGTTCAATAACTAATGTAAGAAAACAACAATAAAAGCAATTCCTGATAGTGTTTAGACACCATTGAACATGTAACTCTTAACACAAAAAAACCATAAAAAGCAATTAGTAAAACTGTCAAGGTACTATTGAACGCTATGATAAGGATGGGGAAAATTGTCTAATTAGCTAGAACTCGTTAATTTCATCAATTGATGAAGATAAAAGTGACGAAGCAGATCGGTTTGTCTAATTAGTAAACGTCAATATGTCTGTCAAACTGAATGACAAACATCACACTTTTTATTGGAATTTTCGACATTTTGAACTCAACTTGTCCTTTTCACACGGGAGACTTCAAATACCTTATCAAAATATCCAATTTGATTGGTCCATTGGTAAACTTTTCATCGGAATGAAAGGTAAACTTACAATTTCTTCTCAATTTTGATTGGTTCCCTTCTCATTCGTATGTTTGACAATTTGAACTCTACTTATTGCTTTCACTCGGTAGGCTTCAAATACCTTCTTCAATATACCCAATTTGATTGGTCCATTATAAAACTATTCATTTGAAAGTTGGACAATTCGAACACAACTTGTTGTTTCCATAAGGGCGACCATCAATTCCTTCTAAATTTTGATTGGTTGATTGGTCAACTTTTCATTTAATTTCAACCTCACTTGTCCTTTCCACACGAGAGACCTTCAATACTTTTGATTGGTTGATTGGTCAACAGCGAACATTCTCTTACAAATATAACACGATGAAAAATAATGAAAAAAATCGTTGACTTCTGTTACAACTTGTTTAGTCAAATAACAGACACAGGTTTGAAAACGGAATCAAAATGCAACATCTAATGATCGCCTTTCAGCAGAAATAAATAAAAAATTCCTCAAACAAACATCGCAAAGAGAAAATAGTTCAAGTTCATTCAATATTAACAACGAAATTCCGAATATCTTTGCTGCAGAACCGTTTCATCAATCAAAACAACAAAAGTTCGTGAAATGATGCAGAAAATCGTAAAAAATATTGTTTGTTTATCCAGGCCTTTTCTTTGCATGGAATTGATCATGTGACTTTGGTTGTTTATTTTGAAAATATTTCTGATCGTAAAAAATTCATTGATATTTATTTTGTGTTTGTTAACTTGAGGATTGTGCTTGAAATATGTTCAAATTTTCACAAGCTTAATTTTCAGGAAATCTCTCGTTCTGTACATTTGTTCTGGATTAGGAAAATCTCTTGATTGTATACGAAAGCTTACTTATATTGTTGTATAACTTTATGTCTAAAGGTGTAATATACATTGTTTAAACCATTTTATTACATTTCAAATCTCAAGATTAAAGAGATTGTCAAGAGTTTTTTAAACTATGTATGTGTATCGGAGTGTCAGGGACACTGATAGCATCAATTTGCACCATTCCAATTTTCGGTCAGACATCTGTGGTTCCTGCAATTTCAATAAAACCAAATAATATTAGTAAGCATTTCTATAATTACAGGAACCACAGACATCTGACTAAACATTGGAATGATGCAAATAGAAACCAAAAACCTCCCCGATAAGGATAAAAAATCTAGAACACCTCTTCACAGTCCCTTTAAACATTATGTAATTTATTTTCTGTAAGTGATCTACCTACCAGATGTTTTTATCATAAAATAACAACTTGTTGTAGACCATGTATTTATAATTACTTTATATAATGGTGAGAACTAGAATATCTTAAAGCTTACATCAATAAGAAAGATTTGTCATGTAGCCAAAGACATACCATATTATGATTCCATTATTTTCAAAAACAATTCAAAAACAAAATAGAATGCCAATTGGAATTTTTAGGTTCCAACCCAAAGAAGCATGTTATAATACGTTTTGTGGCAGGGTTTTGGATATCCATTGGTTTCTAAAAGTTTTAAAAATACAAGGCTGATAAAAGGAAAGAAAGAAACAACAATATCTTACAAGGATAACAACTTAGATTCACAAGCTGGTCCTAGATCAAACCTCTTGACATTGATCTTTCCCAGATTATCTGAACCCATGTACAGTTGGGTCGACTTATTCAAGTCCTCAGACTATCACATGCAGACCAGAATTAGAACCCACGACCACCATTTGTTAGATATTACTAAGCAAATGAAGTCACATAAAGCACCAAGCTCTATCAGACTGAGCTATAAAACCCCAAACAAGACAGCTAAAATATGACATCCACAATTAATACATATTGACTGAAATAATGTAAAATATAAGCAAATCCAAAACCAACTGACTGAAGCTACAACAGAATCCAAAACAGAACAACATAAATTATATACTCACACATCCACTCGCTTGTTTCTTTTAAAAAATCAAAATAAAAAATTAGAAATAATGAATGAAACTTAAGTCAGAAAGGCATTCTATATTAACAGGCCATTCTAAAAATTAAAATGGTTAATTAATAAAAGCTAATTGCTGATTACAAAGCTAGGGTTAATTAATGGACAATCTAGTTTAAATGTGATCTGGAGATTTTGTTTTATGTTTTTCTACGAATGACTTCAACTGTCAACTGTGATCCATCTTCTTTAAATTGTGTTCTGCTGAAACATTTGACACAATAGCTTGAAAAGTCTTTATTATTTATGTTAACCAATAAAAATCACTTTTCAAAGAAATATTTATTGAACAGAGAATTTGATTGGTTAAATGATTCATAAACTAGAACATGAGATCCGAAACAACTATGTCAGATCATGGTTGGCAAGTGGAAAGTAAGAATAAACAATGTACAGTGTCAGGACTGGTGTAAGTTGTAGGATTGTTGATACAATATAAAATATAAGAAGCTAATCCTGTCTACATTGTGTCCAAATCGTTAACGTTATGTGTTCGCATCTTCTATTTTCTACTGTATCGATAATCCTACACTGGACACCCTGAACCGTTCTCTGTTCACCCTGATCCGTTCACTATTAACCATTCCTCCTCTATTCCCACCCTTAAACCACATTTGGGCGTATCAAAAACCATTCTATAAATTAGGTAATCATCATGTTATTTTTAGAGTTAATAATTGATCATGCAGTTATTAAATTAACAGCCAGAAAAAAACAAACTGGTATCTGGGTGCTAAAAGCTAAGTAAAAATCACACCTCTAGAAGACAGAATAACAAATATTACGTGTTAAGATAAAACTCAGAGATATTTCTGTTCTACGTTTCTGTGTTAAAAACATCCTCATCTTTTGATATCAAAATATTTTCTTGTCATAAAAGGGATTTGAACTTAAGTTACATAATGGCCAATAGAATTAAGAGATTGTAAAGAGATTTTCTGTATATCTGGGACACTGATAGCATTCAATTCGCACCATTTCAATTTTCAATCAGACATCTGTGGTTCTTGCAATTCCACTAAAACTAAGCAGTTGGTGACGTTTGATTGCTAAAGCTTGCTAAATATCAAGGACCTTTTTGATAGTGACGTTATTTAAGAAAGACAGACGTCTGATTGAAAATTGGAATGGTGTAAGCGATGGTATAGGTATCACTGATATACATAAAAATTTAGAAAACCTCTTTACAATCCCTTTAAAAGATTTCTTGAACCTACTTGTCCAATAAATTCAGAAGTTGATATATTTGTTTCAGATGTTTTTAAGGAATCGGGGCATTAATAAGATTATATAAGACTGACTTACTTGTCTTCAAAAGAACACCATCCACAATACGGATCTTTGGCTCCCAGACAATCGTAACAAGTAGTATACTGGCTGCAATCATGTACTTGTAACTTGGTTACCTGAAATAAAAAGAACATAAACCATTAAGATTCTGAAAATGTGTGGAGGCCGTGTGGACTCTCTAGTGATTGGCCCTTCACCCTCAACCTCAAATTTCTTCAATAACGATTCAAAATCAATGTGGATGCTGTGTGGACTCTCTAGTGGCTTGGGGAGTGATTGGCCCTTCACCCTCAACCCTCAAATTTCTTCAATAACAATTCAAAATGTGGATGCTGTGTGAACACTCTAGTGGCATTTCAATGGGGAAACCAAGGAACTGACTGGCATTGCCCCTCCCCCACTTTCAAATTGATGCTGGGAGCCCCCCTCATTGATCCTGTGTCCCCTCTTTGCCCTTGAGAAGTCAAATTGATATTTTACGATTTTTTTTTATCTATGTGGACTCTCTGAAATATTGTAGTATATGTATTCATATATCTATGTATATGTCATAGATTTTTGGTAAATTTATCAGAATATTTTAAAATGTGAACTTTCATGTCTGGTCATGACGACCTACTTTGTCTTTGAGATGTCAGGTTGATATTTCGCGAATTTTTATCTATGTGAACTCTCTGAAATATTGTAGTATATTTATTCATATTTATATATATGTCATAGATCTTTTGGTAAATTCATCAGAATATTTTAAAATGTGAACTTTTGGAAGCCATTTTGTCTGGGCGTGATGACAATCTGACTTACCAGATGTGGACGACACGTAAAATGTTTTTAAATATCTGAATAACGAGAATTTGATATCCTTTTAAATATGAAATATTTCCCGATTTGGTGATGATTTCCCCGAACGATTTAACGTGATGGTTAATTCAACGTATGTAATACTAATTAAGGGAATATTTATAAAGTTATATGCTAATGTGGAACTCTTCAACAGAAGTGAAATATAATTGATGACTGTCGCCTACGTGCAACTGTTCTCAAGTCTACTTTTATCTTATTCCTGTTTGGAATCTTTTGCTAGCAAGTTTTGAAATGACACTCTTTTTCTATATTCTACTGTCAAGGGATCTTTAATATTAGAACATCTAATATATCTTGAATGTATTCAAATTCTATTTCAGTTTGCAATGAGGGAAATTTTACCAGGGTAGCTGCATTAGCATACTTTTTGATTTTTATCCATCAAGGGATCTCTAAAATTATCATGTCCCAACTAAATTAAACCATCTAATACATTCAATAGATCTGCATTAATTTATATCCAGTGTGCAATGAGGGAAATTTAACTAGAACAGTGAGATAAGCCTAAGCCTGTATTGTTCCATCCGTCAAGGGACATAATTATATGGTTTAATATATATTTCCTTCCGTCTATAATGTTAAAAGCCTTTCATAATAACTATAAACTAACTATTGTTATAGAAGAGAAAATTTGGACTTGGGTCGGCAAGACGACCAACACAATAGACCTTCATCAATTCTATAAAGTTAACTATCACTCTAATGCAGTGTGCAATGAAGAAAATTTCGATTTCGTCTGTCAAGGGACATAATTAGTCTGATATATCTTTAGTCTATTGTTATAGAAGAGAATAATTAAGAAAATTTTGACTCTGGAAAGCAAAACAACGAAGACAATAGACGTTAATATAAAACTTCATCAATTCTTTTACTTTTCTTCATATTCATTGATTTTCTCTATTCATTGTTTTACTCAAGATTATTTTCTAAGTTAGAGTCTCCCTGGTTAATGCCGCTGTTTTGAAAATTTCGCTTCATTGCACAGTACATGGCGTTCTCAAGTCAATTGTCTCCCTTTCTAATAGGACTCTTAGGGCCATATGCAGCGCTCATACTGAACCTAAACTTTGACTAAAGTTAGACTTAGGTATGCACCCATCGATCTTTACGAAAGTCATGCTTAAATTTGACTATCAAATGAAAGCCTTGATCTTAAGTTTGTAAAGTTTGACTTTAGCCAAAGTTCAACTTTAGTCAAGGTAAGAGCGCTGCATACGGCCCCTAAGTCCTACCGACTTCTAAATATCTGAAGAGACCTATAACATGCAAAGTTTGAGAAATAACGAGAGATAGGGAATCCAACTTGAAAGAGTATTTAAGAAGAATCAATGAGTAGAGATAATTTTCTTTCTATAATAATGATAATAATTATGTATCTAAGTCTAGAATTACTATTATTATGTCTTTTATTAAGCTATTCATAAACCACACAAGATAGTGGTGTTATTTCCTTTCTATTGCCAATAAGATTGAGTGCAAGAATAGCCAACAGATACGTTCTGTATTCAGCTAAATCTGTAGAGTTCTAAGGGTTTGAACCATTCTCAGTGTAAGAAAAAACCTTATGCCATGGCCATTGCTTCTGAGAGTCAATCCAGCGTCACCTAATCTGTAATCAGAGAATAATGCAGGAGACAAGAGACAAGACAATGGAAGAAATTGTTCAAACAACCAGAGTAATACCCTGTAATAACAAACATCTTGTCTGTCCTGATACAACGACAACAAATATTAGCCTTCACATAGCTCCTGGCTAGACTTAACACTGGGTCAACAGACTTCATAAAAACAGCGTTAGATTTCTAAAGATGAAGAAAAGACCCAGGAATAAAAGCATTCTTGATCACAATTTGTTGCCATGACGACCAAAACTTTGACAATTTTTTTGTTTTTTTAGATACTAGATTCAAAATTCAAATGCATTATGCAAGTCACTTTGTTGTCATGATAACCAAAAGATCAAATAAAAATTTTTTCAATAATTGTTGAGTAACAGAAATATCAAAGAGCAGAAGAACTTTGTTTTATTTTTTGCAAGAGGATTGGACGTGGCATTTGCTTGACATAATGTACCCTTTGACTTATTTGTTTAATCGGAAGTTCAAAAATGAGATCTGAGGAGGTAAACAATCTCAAACACATTGCGTGGCAAAGATGACCTCAACTTGTTTAATCTTTCACAAAGCGATTAAATTGCGAACGAACCTCGATCAACGATATCCTCTCGAAAGTGACCCAAGGTCTCGTAAGATGTCAATCAAGTTAGCTTAACAATGGCTGAATTTCTTTTTCACAGAAATCAAATTTCCTCTCAAGATACAAAGGTCAAGGTCAAGGGTTGTCAAAGGGAGATAATCTAATCAGAGCAGACGTACAAATGAAATCAAGACAACTGGTCTAATTGACGGATCATTTCAATAAAAAATTACAAATGTCACATCAAACGTTGATTGGGTAAAAGAGGCGAAGAAAAACCTGTTTGTCTGAAGTCGTCTGTGATTTTTTTATCAAGCACGTAAAAAAATTGATTTTTTTTTCCTCTTCAAAACAAATAATTGATTTTTCGAGGTCACAGTCTGTACTAATTAAAGTAATTTTTTAAGTGAATTACTAGTCTCTCGCCATCAATAACGCAAATTCTATTTTCAATTTTACACAATATCAGCCCCGCTGCACTTTTTAATGAAATTTGCTGCCGAAATTGATGAAATCCATTACATTAACTGCTGATCAGACCAATCTGCTTGTCATTTTATTGATGTACAAAGACGAATTATCTCCCACCAAACTTCATTCAGAAAAAAATCTAATTAAAATTCATTCAGTGTTTCCAAGCTGATTAGAATAAAGAACGAGGGTTTTTTTTAATTAGAAACAGGCTCGCAGCAATATCATGCCATTTACAGATTCGCAGCAATTCACTTGCAACAGGCTGGAAACAATGTTCATGTCTTTTACACTTAAGTGAAGTAAATCTTGAAGGCATTTAAAAAGTGAAAACCCTGAGGTTCCAGATTGGCTCCTACCAGACAATACAATGGGCACCGTGCCTCATCCTTTACTAATCCGGTCTGTCCACATCGAATGAAATCTTACCAAGCATTTTACTAGTGACAGAAATAATAATTTGGAAATTGGGCATCAATCACTTTCGGAGGGTCAACATTGATCAATGATGGGCTTTTTTTAAAAAAACAAAACTTTGGATTACAAGGATCCTTTCTACCAGGTGGTCCCCAAACGTCTTGGCATTGATCTTTCCTGGCCACGTATTCTTGAAACGATCTTAGGCAGTCCTAGAATCAATGTTAGAAGATAAGAACCTTGGGACATCCTAGTGATCATTTCAAGAATACATGGCCAGGATTATCTGTACCCATTACAGCTGGGTTGACACAAGTTGACTGAGATTAGAACCCACAACCACCATTTGTTCCAAGGAAATGACATTGTGTAAAGATTCCCTAGGAGAGGAACCATTGTTCAATTCAGAAAAATCATTTGCATTGAAAAGTAGAACAACAAACTGTCTCTAGGTTAAAATGCCATTCATTTTTGTTTAAATCAATGATATTATTAGGTCAAATTATAAACAATACATAATTAAATATTATTGTTTCTATGATATTTAAGTATTTGTTTCCCTAACTACTTCACTAACATGTTGAAACACTTGAAATAATATTTTAATGTAAAATTATAAATGATTTGACGGCAGGTTTTAAGTGGTTTCAATTGCAAATACATGTCATATGGCAAAGGAGTTGAATATCAAAATGTAAAAGTGCAATATCACTTGTAAGCATTATCTGTATATTAAAGGGATTGTGAAGAGCTTTTCTATTATGATATGAGTATTTGGTACACTTAAAGCTTCTATTTACTAGAAAATCAGAATGATGTAAATAGAAGCTATAAGTGTCTCTGATACACATACAAAGACTAGAATATCAGAATGGTGTAAATAGACACTTCTAGTGTACCTGATACACATACAAAACCTTTATACAACACTATAAGCTCCTGACAAGTGAGTTTGCACACTTCGAACTCAATAAAATAACCTGCTTGGTTGGTTGGTAGATGACAAGATAACATCCGCTTCCAGCTTATAAAGCTGATATCACAGACTAAGCCTCCAAAGTGGATTACATATATTTATATATCAGATAATAAAGTATATGAAAGTAGGTTAATAAACTAAGCTTATCATATTAGCTTATATAAAAATCTAATTATAACCTGAATTCAATTATAACCTATTTTAGATCCAGGATAAGCTATCAGACACATACACATAAAAATATTGACCTTGAAAAATCTGCTGGAAATACATCTCAATACAATGAGTGCTGAACCTATTTTCAAAAAATCTTTAGAATTCTTTCTTAATATTCGATGGTAAAAACTGCCCCCCAAAACCCATAGCCCACATTCACTGCCTATATCTACACCCCCTTACCAACTGCTAAAACTTTTTGACCCTGGCTGTTCTGTTATTTCCAAGTGAACTTGTTTGCTGT